ATCCGCTCCCCTCAAATTGGAGCGCCCGCCTGGGGAAGTTAACTTCACTGAAGCAAAATACCACAGCAAAATAACACTAATTTGGTGGTGGTGTGTTTAGTTTATTTTAACATACATATATAACTGAAAAAGCATGGGGCGCTATTCATTGCAATGTTTATCAAATCAATTAATATATTGCGGGATTCATAATGCTTAACAATTCAGTTAAAATTTTATAATGAAGCGCAGCACGCTTTTTCAATTATATATATATATATATATATAATTGAAATATATATATATATATAGTGCAGTAAATAAAAGCGTATTTTTAGTTTTTTAAACTATTAATTTATTTTACTCTTTTTAGTTTCAGTCATCAGGAAAAATTAACAGAACATGTTAATATGAATTTAATGAGGCCAAACTAGATATGTTTACTAGAAGGCAGTCCAAAGTTCCATTAGCCACCATCCAGTCCCATCATCAGACCAGCTCGATGGTACCATATTATTGTATTGTCATCTAATCTACATATCATTGCCAAGTTTTATTATGTTAAGACGAATCTCATGAGCCCAAACTCGATTTGTTTATTAGTAGACAGCCCAGGGTGCATCAGCTACCTTCCAGTCCATCCTCAGGTCCTCGTCATCAGAACAAATAAATAGAATATGTTAAGACGAATCTAATCAGCCCAAACTCGATATGTTTACAAGTAGGCAGTCCAAGGTTCCATCAGTCACCTTCCAGTTCCATCATCAGACCAGCTCGATGGTACCATAATGTTGTATTGTCATCTAACCTACATATAATTACCAAGTTTCATGATGATACAAGAAATTAGAAGTACGTGTAATTCAGATTCTTAGATTTTATAACATAGTTAACAAGTCGACCTAATAAAAGCGTGTTAAAAACTGGCCAAACGCGAGTCAGGCGCTGTTCTATTAGGGTTCCGTAAAATCATTTGTTTGTTTCCGTGAGATCACACTTGTACTTGTAGTAATAGAGCATGATGGGACATCTTATACCTTGAATTTCACATTCTTGTTTTGTTCTGATTTTAAGATAGGCCCTGTAATAAAAATGGACTAAAAACCGGCCAAGTGCGAATAGAACTTGCCCACGAAGGGTTCCATACCAAAAACGGCAAAACATCACGTCTGTTGTAGGGGAGCCCCCCTTAAATACAATTTTTAAAGTGAATATACAACTAAATATTATGTGAATATTTGAAGACAAAAAAAAACACGTTTGTTGTATGGGAGCACTCCTTAAATATTTATTTTATTTTTGTGATAGAGGCAAGAAATACATCATCTGTGAAAATTTCAACTGTCTACCTGTCACTGTTCATGAGATACAGCCTGGTGACGGACAGACACACAGAAAAAGGGGCAGCGAAGTCTTAGTAATAGGGTCCTGTATTTTCCGTTTGAGTACGGAACCCTAAAAATGACAAACTTGGCGGCACCACATTTCTTCGTTATTGAAAATTAAAAATAATAAAAATTAAATTAATATCCTGCTCAACAAGCTCTAGACAATGATATGTCAAATGCTAGGTTAAAAAAAATCGTCTCCTTTTCATGTTGAAAAACCCTTGAAAAATAATTTAATTGAATATTTTAATCAAATATTCCGCTTTTTGCAAGCATTCTACATAAAATACCAAAATGTCAGTCTGTAACTCATTTTGTTTATAATGTGGTGGCCTGTGGCATACGGACAGACAGACAGATACTTCGGTCTTTACGGGTCGTTTCCGCTAGGTTATTTTCATAGGCCCTGGATACCGATGACGCCTGAGCATAGTTTGGCCGATAATGGATTTGGTGTATCCAAAGCGATACATTTCAAATTACAGGTTCTAATTCTATCAAAGTCAACATGGAAACTTAGTGGTTCATATCCAAATGCACATCACATATTAAGCAACGTGGAACTTCGTACACTTGTTACTCTATGGCATCATGATGATGATAGCACTGATAGTACCCCAGGTTAAACATCGCTTTGTTAGCGAAATTCTATTTTGACATTAATGGTTGTAGTAGACATATCAACTCTGAAAGGGATCATCATCGTTTCAATTCGAGCCGTTCAGTATTCTTTGTATGACACTCCCTACTTGCTGAGTTGATATGTCTGTATTTGTTTCTTAGGTTTTCACGCACATCACTCATTAAATAAAACTAGTTTTTACGGGTTAATGCACGAAAACTTTATTTATTTATTGACGTTTCGCAGCCTTTTCAGGTCTGCATCGTCAGAATAATGATTTTATTTAAAATTGTCGAGCTACCTTCGAAAGAATTATATTGAGCGGTCGGTTATTTCATTGGAAGATTTTTAAAATTTTATTGTCTATGTATGAATTTATTATTTAATTTACTTAATAAAGTATTTTATTTAAAATTCTTGTTTGTAATTTTGAGTTTATTTATTTGACCCTAACTACCGTAAACTACCACCGGTTCCAAAATTGGGAGACCTTCCTGAGAAGAACCGGTGAAACAAACTCAAGAGAGGCTTTCTATCTCCTTCTTATGTTAAATTATGCAAACAAAAAGAAATAATAGTATCTGATGGTCTTGCAGTGTGTGCTCGGGGTTGGGATTTTATCTCCTGTATAATAGGTTCCCAAGCTGGTGGTATATACCAACCATCTTCCCTATTGAAATTTGGATATTTTTTTATCTCAATAGCCTCGCGCATCATTCGAGGAACGAACCGCTGTTCAGCTGCAAGGATCTGTGGTCTATCAAATCTAATGTAGTGGTTTGGTCCCCCTAATGCATGTTCACACACTGCAGATTTATTTTCGCGCCTATGTTTCATATTTGCGATATGTTCTTTTACCCGAGTCCCTATACTCCTCTTTGTTTGCCCGATGTAGGAGAGCCCACAGTCGCATTCAAGTTTGTAGACACCAGCAACTTGAAAGGGTATATTGCACTTGACCGGTCGTAGAAACTGGTTGATCTTCTTAGGCGGCTTGAAGTATGTATTGATTGAAGCACGCTTCAGAATCCTCCCAATCTTGTCAGTGACTCCTTTCATGTATGGTAGTATAGCAGGTTGTCAGTCGACCGTGCTAGGTTTGGCGCGACTGTGACGACGATGTGGTACATTCAGGTTATTATTCTTCAGTACTTGCTCGACATGCTGAAGTTCAGCTGCCAGGTGTTGTTCGTCACAGACACCCCGTGCTCTCTGAAACAAAGATGTCGTGGCAGACATATCATAGATACCTGATATGTCTGCCACGACATTAATACGAGGCGATATATCAGGTATCTAAAGGAGACCAGTCCCCGTAGCATGAGCACTACAATTTACATTATATCACGTTTTTTATCTCGTCTAAATGTCAAACTCCATAGTAATTTGACAAGTGAGCGTGATAAATACGCGTTATATATCATATCGCGGTGCTTATGCTAGGAGGGCTGGGCGTTTCCTCGTCTATCACGACAACGGCTAACTAGAGTCGAGGTCAGAGTCTCAAAGGCATGACGTTGAGTCGATGTATGTCCCTCAAGCTCTAGTGGCTTAGTGGCTCTACGACGGAGAGGAAACACCCTCGAGGGGAGACGCCATCCACCTAGAAAACCACTAGGGTCCATTTCCCGGTCAGAGGTCCCCTAAGGATCTCACCGTCCTCAAACCTGTTAACGCTGGTGCTGTAATGTCATCCTACCACCACCAGCGTAGACATTCGAAAAAAATATATATTAACACCTGCCCATCCACACATTGTGTTTACTTAAGCCTCATTTGATTCAAGGCGCAGTTTATGAAATGAAATAACAAAAAATAAAAATTTCAATCGTAAGGACGGGTTTAAATTGTCAAGTGTCTGGATCCTGTGGTTCGTATGTGAAAAACCGGAAATACTCAAAAAAGTGTCGTGTCGCGATCCGATACTGTAAGTGTTGTGTGTCGAGAACAGTTTCGAGTGAATAGTGAGAATGTGAAAAGTGGTACGGGTATCGAACGCAATAAAAGACTTCGTCGGAGGGTAGACCGATATGTCTGCCAAGTGCCAATAACAGCCTACCCGCAATTACTTCAGTTACTCCGTGATCATGACGCTTGCAACAGTGCCGAAATATCGGAAACTCGTTAAAAACAAGGTGCATGGTAACAATCCCGTAAATAACTTATATTACTATAATGTTAGTAACCATGAAAGTTTAAAACCATATACAGTTTATGAAATGTCTTGGCATAGTAAAAGGAGATTGCTCAGTTTCCATACATGTTTGGCCTAAAAACCAATAATCATGAAAAATTGTTTCCTAGATTCGAAATTATATATAAATTACTGTAGAAACGAATATTATTGACGGACACCCCTGAGAACTTCTATAAACCATATACACTGAACATATTAAAATAATAAAAAACAAATAAGTTATAAAGTAAACTAGGGAAATCAAGCCAAGTACCGAAATTATGGATTAGATTCAGGTATATAGAGCATGTAGATTAACAGATAGTTGCCTGTTTTTAAAGTTAATGCATAAGAGTAACTTTTAAAATCAGGTGTCATTTCCGGTTATAATAAGGTACTCTGTGACAGAAACTGTGTGATGATTGTGAATTCGTATGTTTTCCAAACCGATAAAATGAAAAGTCCTCTTTAAAGTAAATATATTATACAAAGGTGTCCGTTGAAATCTAATAACTGTAAATTAAATTATAAATTACGCCAAGAATTACCGTGTATGTCAATATTTTTTTTGCATTTGGGCCAATTTGAGCAATCTCCTTTTATATCTATTACTTATTGTGTCACTATTTGGGGTCACAGAACATTAAACTTGGTCAGGGTGCGATCGATCGTATATAGCGGGCGTTGGTGCTGTACATCACTCACATATAAAAAAAATATGACTTCATTTTGGCCCACCCAATCTTGTTTTCCGTTAAGAGACATTACAATGCTTATCTATTATTCAATATTTTGTACTAAAATCGAATCGTCTTACTGACAATAAAAATTAAAATACATGAACAGAGTATCGTGTATTATTAAAAAAACATAATAAACCTTATTACACATCACGTAAAGTTATAAAACAAACTTAAATTGAACATTAAAGCAAGTAAGTATAACAAGCAGTAACCTACTTAAACTGACATTATTCGACACATATTGTTACATTCCTTATATAAAATAACAGTCATTTAAAAAATCTGAGAGTTTATTAGAATATTGCCAGTATATACTTAAGTAATAAATTAGAATTAAATATGGTCCCTTCAAACTTCACTTCTATTTTCAATGTATGACAAAATATATATTTGATTTTCATAATCCGGTATATAGGACAGTCATAGCCATAATTATATTTTTCAGGTACCAAATAGTTTAAAACTATATTACATCTGACTTATAAACGACATCTATTATTTTGATCAACTAGATTGGATACGTTGTACTTATAACATTACAAAATATTTAAAATTTGCTTGGAAAATCTAAAATATCACATTATGATCCAGTTTGATAGATGTACGCTCAATAGATTTGGACTTTGCATTTATAAAGTAGGGTCGGAACAGTGTAACAAGGGGTACAGTGTAACATAAGGAATATCTCTACCCTTTTCTTATTTGTCTATGGTCTTGTAGTGCGATGCACGACGTCATGTCGATGACGTATAAGAATGATTATTGTTTTTTATTATAAGTTAATATTCTATTTTCTTTAAGGTAAATGTGTAACATGTAATCGGATACTTTTCTAAACAAGCTAAATGTCATTGTAGAACATGTACAGCATTATCGTATTGACCTACTTCAAATTAATATAAAAACCCTGTTTTCATCTCAAGAAAATTCAGTTAAGACTCGACTTTTCTTGTGTTATAATTTCTCCCGACGCCGCACATCTCATCTCAGTTTTGACGTTTCTTGGGCCGCCATCTTAACCAGCTGCCATCAGACGTCAAATGGCCGCTTATTATACAGAGATATTTCTTTTGTTACACTATGCGCCTTTTTACACTGACCGTAGTGAATAACTAGCTTCGCTATGGTAAATACGTCTTAATAATAATGTGCAGTTTCCACAGTCATTTACGTTTTCATTACTAATCTACAATCAATTACTTATTATTCCTTTAGCAGCTTTGTTGGAAGCCATCAGCAGTGCTATTCTGTAAAAACAAACTCACTTTTCACTGCGGAATTTGCCGGAGAGAATTGAAATTCTTGTTTTAAATTTTAAATCATACCGCTGATTCGGTGGTAAAAAGTGTGTTTGTTCTTACAGAATAGCACGACAGGGAAATTAGTCATCTATTCAATATTGTTGTTTTTATAAGAAGTTTAAGCTATCTTATGTGGGATGGTTACAGGAAATTAAGAGTTTGAGAGGGTTTATACAGCAAAGGAATTAGCCACCGCGGTGTGTGAGTACAGCATCGATCAGCAAAACTGCTCCGTTGATGATGGCCAGTGAAGCCTTCGCAAGGTTGTACTTCACAAATTCACTCCTACCAGCATTTTGGTATCTGAAAGTGAATAAAAATATATTAACAATACAATAGTCTACATAAGATTAAATCTACTTACTTTATAAACATTCTTCCATTAAAAGTTGAAAATCGTAAAAAACATTAGTAATTTAGCTAAAAAAAAAGTTTTTATAGCTATAAGTATAAGACATACAATACCATTGTACTTGAAAATTAGGAAAGAAATTACTGTCTCATAAATATTATACCTACTATAAAGTTCCCCGTTTATGCGCTACAAAGGGCATATGCTACTCAATATGTTCTTATCGCCCCGTTAAAACACGTCGGGGTAGATGGTACTTGAGCTGTATCATCCATCCCGGTTAACGACGGGGTCGATGGAACAATTTTCCCTAACTGCCCCGTTAACGGGGTGGGACGACCGGGGTGGATGGTACCGAATCTAGTAACGAGAGTTGGAACGACAAACTATCAATATCAGTCCAAAGCTACTAAGGATTCAGCCAGGAGAAAAAATGAAGCATTAAAAGAAAAAAAGAGAGAAAGGGGAATGTATGGGGAAGCAAGATTACAAGAGCCATTTTTTACTAAATAGTGACGTCACGAGGAACCGCTCCCAAACGTTGACGCGCATTATTTTTGCTATTTTATGGATGATTGATAAAGGAATAAAATAAGTGTCCATTATAAATTAATTTAAATTATAACAATTGATTATATAATTATTTGGTTTTAATTTATATAATTTAAAATCCCCCGACATTCATCATCCCAATTGTTTATTAAAGTGTAAAAAGAAGGCTAACCATATTTATCAACCCGAGCTTTTCTATTTGAATTAAACTTTAGTGCAAGTGGGCAATTATATTGGGCGGACTACACTGTTCACTGATGTTCAAGTATTATTCGTTTAGGGAAAAAATATGGTAAACTGTTTTCAATATTGGTAAAATGAGAGATAAGGTTTTTTCAGTTAGCAATATGACTAAATTTTAATTATAGATTTGGCAGTTAGCTGTTGATTTTTTAATTCTAAATATCTATTAGTAAACAAAGAATCAATTGCTTCTCTTTACTTACTTATCGATAATCATAGCTCCGCTGGCAACGAACAGAGAGACACCGAGCAATGAGAAGAAAACGTCAACCCGTTTGTGAGTAGGCGTCTGCAATATGTAACCTGAAACATTACGTTAGTACATCCATATAGTACATCCATGATAAATAATAAATATATTTTTTTATTAAATAAATAAGTAAATATTACACCAATTAGCCTAAAGTAAGCAATGAAAGGCTTGTGTTATGGATTACTAGGGTAACGGATACTGATACATATATAAGGATATTTTATTTAGAAATACATATGAACTAGTGATGTAACGAATACACGCATTCACATTCGCATTCGCAAAATCTCTGCGAAGGTTTTGCGAATATGAATATTAGAAAAATACAATTTGAAAATAATATTATGTTGATAAAATCAAAATCCATTGATTCCTTATGTTTTTTAATGCAAAAAAAAACTTAATCACATTACTCGTCTTGACTTTAGCATTATTTATTTATTTTCTTTACATTTTAGCATTAGCTTAGCATTTGGCATTATTTATTTATTTTCTTTACTTGGGCAATGAAAACAATTTATTTTTTATTAGAACTTAAAAAACAAAATAAACAATGCAATGTGTACAAACAAATACAAACTCTTTTAAGATTTTTTTATCACTTTTAACTTATATTTTAATGTTACATAGAATAATCATCTTCTTTGACAAAACTAAAAAAAATCGGAAATCTCGGTTTTATGCTTTGCCTTCAAATAATTTCTTATAGCAGTTTTAGTTCTTCCTCTCCTTATGTTTCCTTTCGGAAAGTGTGAAATAAGTCCACATTTCACTAGAATTTGATTTACTCATTTTAATAAATCACTATTCAAAGTCTAACCTCAAAATTCACTTGTTTAGTTTACGAAAAGACCGGCGCCACCACCAGCGGAATGTCACATCAGTCGGATGAGTTTATATCAACTCTCAAATATTCGCAATGTCGGTACCAGATATTTACGTTACATCACTAATATGAACATCCATTACTTAGGTACAAATTATCGTATAAGTGGTTTGTGTGTATGGGAAATGAATTTTTCAACGCAGTCGAAGTCGCGGGCACACTGCTCGTATAACATAAAGACCAGCCAGAGCTTGATACTGTAATTGTGAAGTCAAAAATACGTAAGCGATAATACAGATGTCGCAAGCGTCTATAAATAGTTGCGGTGACCTTTTTAAATCAGTTTCTACAGTTTCATTTTTTTTTATGTCAAAAGGATGGCTAACATGCATGTGGTCCGCTTGATGAAATCAGAAATCATTAATCGGAAATCAGAAATCTAAATTGGTTGGTATACCTAGCACAACTCTTTTGAATCGTCCAATTTTTTTTCCACTCGTAATTGGACATATTATTTAGCTGCGGAGAAAAACGAGCGAAATAATCGCCACAACAATAAAATTATAATGTAACAACATTTATGTGTGTGTTTGATGGTAAGCGGCAACTTTAATAGTATATGATCCCAAGACTGCCAGACCTCAGTTATTTTCTCATGGATGAAATATGGATTATCGAAAAGTATTAGTGTGTACAACGAAAGTATAAATACTCGCTAACTTGTGCTGTGGGTCAATTTTCACGATTCAGGTGGCACAGGCACTTCAAATTTTACTCACTTTACTTACAGTCTAGGGACTGATTATTACGTATGTTGTAGAAAATATTTTTAAACAATTTGAAATTAATACTGCCTGGCACATTCTCTTCGCAGTATTTATTGCCAGACACTTTTAATGTCAAAGCCAAAAACACAAACTTGATTATTGTCTGAAATAATTTTGATAATAGGGAAGGTGCAATATTTTTATTTTTGTTTTCATTTTAAAGAATTCCATGTAGAATAAACCACAGATATATTAAAAAATTAAAACATTGTGATTTATCGGAAAAAATGCGGTTTTAAATTGACAATTTAAATTTTCGCGCGAAAACGAACCTATGGTTGCGATGACGTCACTCCTGTCTGTCACTGGTCGTAATTGTTCGTTGCTGGCTTTAAATTTTCATACTTTTGCATATTTTTTCAACTTTCGAAATATTTTTTTAAAAAATTTTAATTGGACTATCCATCAACATCATATGATCATAACAATACCACTAATATTCCGAAAAAAAGCCGTGTTGACTCATGTTTTGTGCCAATCTACTTCAACAAAGTTCCCAAATAAATTGTTTTTGACTGGAACTTCTGACCCAAAACTGAAAAAAAAGTGGTTTCAAGCTGCGAAGAGAAATGACAATTATTCTCCAAAGACCATTATTCGATGCTGAGAAGATCACTTTGACGTAAGTCGGCGAATATACTTGTTATATGCTTAATTAATCTGCTTGTACGTAACCTACCTAATACTTACAAAACCTGTCTATAACATATTTTTAATTTTACAGTTGGAGAATGACGTCGAAAATTAGATAAAGTTTAAAATGTGTGGCACAATCTTCTCATTGGCAGGACTGAACCAAGCTTTGCGTTTCATTTAAAATAACTGTGATACGATAACCTTCTTTACGTACTTTATGCTCCGAAGAACTCGACCTTTTACTGTACATAATTTTCCATCTCTTTTAATTTGGACATAGCCGATTGCATTATCGCCGTAAGATTTGTAAAAGCCGCTGAATAAAATACGAAGTTTAACAACTACGATTTTTGCATACCGTAGTAATTTAGTCCCTTTCATATCTACACTTAAAAACTCTGCACTTTGGACAAACAAAGTTATAACCATGTCAACGCTAACTCTTGGTAAATTCCTGGAGTCTGCTTTGATAAACGCAACTTCCATTTTTATTAAATGTAAAAAAACGCAATAAATATTCCCATAAAATAATATTTACTTTAACAACCATAACCTCAAAGAAGTTGTCATAACAGGAGTGACGTCACTAAACGCTGATTGGTGTTTTAAAATACGTTCCGTTTCAAGTATTTTTAATTCGTAATAATTGTTAAAAAACAACATTATGTAAAATAAAAACGTTGCAGTGGCATTTCTTTTATATTTTTTTAACATTTTAATCATAAAATTTTCATAAATATTATATATGCATCTTCCCTAAGAAGTTATTTAATTATTGTAAAAGGCTTCCTGTACCCTTTTTATTACATAACTTTAATGAAGCTTTATTAAACACTTAATAAGCATGAGCGCGCCTGTCCTAGCTTAGGAAATTTTTGGCCCCGAAGCTTTGACCGGCAGCTTACAAAATATAATAATAGCCCCTAAATGTCATAGATAAATATCAGGTCTCAGACTGTAAGTAAGTTTTGTGGTTTTTTATTTCGACATTTAAAGTGTCTGGCAATAAATACTGCGAACAGAATGTGTCAGGCAATATTAATTTCAAATTGTTTACAATATTCTCTACAACACACGTAATAATCAGTCCCCAGACTGTACAGTCCACAGCACAAGTTAGCGAGTATGTATACGTTCGTTGTTACACACTAATACTACTCGATAATCCATATTTCATCCATGAGAAAATAAGTGAGGCCTGGCAGTCTTGGGATCTTAATCTATAACCTATGAGACGCTTGCGATACCAAAAAATGTCTCTCGTGCCCGAGATTGCCTACCCTTACCGAATCCCCCCTGCCCCGACGACGAGCCATGGAAACTTACTCACCATCAACAATACAAAACAAAATATTTTACTGTGGTTTTCTATGGGGTGGAGGTTATTTTCCCGGACGGTCATTCCAAATTTCAATTCGAGCATAAATTCCGCGGTAATTGGTGAGGTCAGAAATGCGTGATCGATAATACAGATGTCGCAAGCGTCTATTAATAGTTACGGTGAACTTAAACAATTACGTGAGTTTCCAGTTTTAGAACAAAATACTAAGCATGATACAACAACGACAAGGAAGAAATTGACTCATCCCTTGCACTAGGGATCGATTTCTGTATTTTTTTTCATTTTTAAGACAGCTTTTATGTCATACTAGCAGGCGCCGCGCTGGTGACTTTAGTTTTTGAGAGTTCCACAGGAAACTAACTTTTTTCCGGGATAAAAAGTATTTTATATTTCAATCCAGGTCATAAACTATATGCGTGCCAAAACTCATACAAATCCATTCACTAGTTTTTGCGTGAAAGAATAACAAACATCTGATGTTTGTTATTTACGGATGTAAATATATCCGTACAAACTTTTGCATTAATAATATTAGTAGGAAGGATAGGATTTGGACTAAAGATTTATAATGTCACATTGTATTGATTGATTTATAATGGCGAACCCATCCAATGTGACGATGCGCCGCGCCGTCGTTATAGGATTGGCATTCCAAAATTCGCCAAAAGCAGTTCAGTAGTTTAGGCTTACACCGTAGTAGATAAAAAGATATAGATATAAATTTAAAAATATTAGTGTTGTTATACCTGCAGCCGCTCCAGCAAATATGATGAGGTACCCTACGAAGGTGCCTGTGGCCAGCATGCCCAGGTCCACTTCGGTGTTGAAGCTGTTGGCATGGAGAGCCACGCAGCCACATGTCAGGGCCTGGAATAGACAAACCGATGGGTATTTTAATAAATATTTATTATTAACTAACGGCCGCCCACGACTTAGTTCACGTTAAGGTTTTTGTAAACCCCTCAGGAATCTAATTTTTTCGGGATAAAAACTATCTTATATATCACTCCAGGTAATAAACTATGTGAGTGCCAATTTTCATCCAAATGCGTTCAGCCGTTTTTTGATTGATTCAGTAACAAACACACAATGTTTCTCATTTATAACATTGGTAGGATTAATAAAGATTTCTTTAACTGGCTGGATTCGAACCAACAGCCTTCGCTAAACTGGTGAATACACAAACTTTTATGCTATAGATCGCGAAAAACTTCCTATGAAAAACCACAGAAAATACATTTTGTAAAATTTCTACAGTGCAGGCTTCCTCGTCTGGTCGTTGCTCAAAACGTTTGCCGGGATGTTTAGTTGGACCATAATGGATATTTAAAAATTCTTTTATTTTTTTCCATTAAAGGTAACTTCCAATGTTGAATAATTACTATTTTTAAATAAACCCGATAGACTTGCTTTATTATTGTTTATTATGCATTAAGAGGTGTTGGTCGGGGATTGGGGGGCGGTAATTGTTTTTTTTTCCATACAAACGTTCTCGACTGATCTTTATCCTTGATTTATATCACTAAAGTATTGATTTTCATACTAAAAATGTAATTTTACTCATTCTATGCTCCTATGTCTTCTTTGTCTTGATAATTTGTGTTTCAAAGAACTCTAAGAACTAGAACTCCTCAAAAATGACAAAAATAAACAACTTTTTATCACCACTAAAGACGTCAAGGGTGAAGATTTAATAAGCATTTACGAAAAAAAAACAAAACTTAAAGGCAAAGTATAACAGCTACTTATTTATTCTTTATGTAAAATTTCTATGACATATATCTAATTTTCGAGGAGGAAATCGTCGAGAGGCAAACCTCAAATTCTGAATTTTTATACGCAGTTTTCAGCGTTAATTACTGTGTCTCTATCACACGGATTGGCCAGTACGTGACAGTAGTAGTTTTTTTCAAATACCTATTTCTCAAATGTCTCTCAGCTCGCGTCCGCTATTAAATAGAAAACATACAAATTCAACAGGCAGCTTAGTTGGTCAATTGAACGCTCGTTACATGTAATATAGGCTATAACATTAATAACTGCATATAAAACAACTCGCCTAACCCAATTAATGGTAAATTAGTTGTTGATCCGCAAGTCAATGGACTATTATTATAAACAAGTTACATTAATAAATTGAAGTCTTCTCGTTTTCCATGTATACAAATAGGTATTTTTATCATAATAACCTTCGATCAACAATACTATAGAAAACGGGTGAGCGCGTAAAATCCGTCTCGGGAAATATAGCCTCACTTGAGGCATGAGATCTTATTTTGAATTAGAACTATTTAAGTGGGGCTCCCATACAACAAGCGTGATTTTTGCTGTTTTTTACTCAGTATCAATCAACAGGTAGACGTTTGAATATTCATAATATTTTGCTGTATATTCACAAAAAAATATATAAAAAAAAATACCTAATACAACAAACGTGCTTTTTTCGTTTTTGCTCGATATTATAATGTAGTGTCTAATGTTGTATAGGTAATACGGAACTCTTGGTGCTTGAGCAAGACTCGAACTTGGCCGCTTTTTTTGGTACGGGACTAATATTCCTTAAACGTTGTGGTCGAAACCTCGGATAAATAGTACTCAATCCCATTAATATATAAATTAATAATAACTAGCAAACCAGTGAACCAAATGTTCACCAAAAAAAAAATGTATTTAATTAATTGAGAACTTCGGAGATTTTGTGTGGTTTCGTTTGAAATAGAAATCACGTGATTTCTCGAAAACCGGAAGTGCTACGTTACTCACATCCGGTTTGTAGTCTTATCAGACTATTCTTAACTTATAACTTAAACATTCTCTATATCTATCTCTTACGGTTTGGCCGCTGAAACAGCACCACGGACGGACGGACGGACTTGTCTATTAGATAAGAGATGGCAGGCAACACATATTCATATGTTAGTATACATTAAAACTAATAACTTAGTGTTAGTAGCCTACAGTAAGTATTACACACATTTGGAACATTTTTGTTTTTCAATAGGTTAATGTTTATCGTGGTTCAGTTATCGAGTACGCAGTCGTGGTTATTTTTTACAATTCACAAAAACATTACTGTGACAAGCTAATGTTATCTTTAACCAAAAATAATATATTAGAAACCACTGTTTTGGTCACAACAACACGTCACGGTCATGGACATTAGCATTTTATATGCTTTATTAAGCATTATTTATGTTATTTATAATCATTAAAAGCACGTAACAGCAAAATTTTATATTTATTTATATTAAATGCTTAAAAATATAATATCATAACATTTTATCAAACTCCGAGTTCAGAACACTATTAACAAAGCTTTGAATGCGATAGTTATATAGTGCCTAAAAATAAACTTGTGCTCATAAAAGTATTTTGTAACATCCAATATTGTCATTAATGACTCAGAGATTTTATCAATATAAGCTATAATATTTTTTATCATCGTTCGTTTACTACACTGAGTAAACCGTCATACTTAAGCATGACGTCATTTTTGTGTCATTGCGTGAAGGAACCACAACTTTACCGATTCAGTTCACGACGTCTCTAGTGTAACATTCAAAGGCATATAATCGAGGCTAAGAAGGACTTTTAATATTTAAAACATGTCATTTATAGTAACTTATTAAACTGTACTAATATGATAAATAAAGTAACATTGTGGGACTTGTGCTATAGTAGTAGAATTTATGAATAATTTTAGTTCTCACTTTGTCCACTTGAACGGATAAGTTGGCACTCAAAACTTGTTTGTAGAAAGGTGATGTCATGGATGCTTAACGCCTGCGCATTCAGGTCACATCGCCGAGGCTGATACGATATGACCTTGTGGAAACGGCCATAGAATAAGGTCAATTGAGTTCCATATTTTTGTTTGTTAATTTATTTGCCTTATTAAAAACATTATGCTTAAAAAAAATACTTTAAAAAACAATAAGGATGATGACTACTATCTGTACTATTTTTGGTCTAGTAGGTATATTGTTATAAAGTATTGGACACGTAAGGGGATTGTTGGGTAATAATAACTGATTGGTGGGTGATGGTGGGGATTGATGGGTGATAATATGGGATTGGTGGGTGATAGTGAGTTTTTTAATGCACTCAGGGAACTTTTGAGGACGTCTTCTCATTACAAAACATTCCCCTGAACGAGTGTGAATGGAGGAATAGCATCATCACATTACACTTAAATACTTATATTATATTTATTAGTATGTCTGACTATTACCTCTTCACGCTTGAACTGCTGAACCGATAAAGATGAAATTTGTTATAGAGATAGTTTGAGTCAGAAAGGCTGGAAGTTTGATTGGGTTATCATTTTTTCCACGTAGACGATGTCAAGGCACTCTGTAGAGTAATATTATACCTAAGTAATTATAAGAATGGTTCAATTTTATTTTAAATTGAATTTTAATTTGAATTAAAAAAAACTTAATTAAATAAAATCTTACAAAATCATTTCTGTTACATCCAATTGTAAAAAGTTTTGCATGTATATTAGATCCGGTCATTCCATTTTCGTTAATGGATATTGTTTACCATGTAGGTACTGACAGGCAAACCTTAATATGTTACGCGCGTGCATATTGCTTACATTACGTAACCACACCCTTAGCAGGTGTGTACGGCGATGACGGTTTGTTAGTATCCCAGTCATCGTACTGTTACGGTCTTACGTCATCCCAATTAGGACACGGCAGTCCATAATTTTGGTGGCCGGCTTACTATACTAAATTATTTGTAAGCAATAGTTTTTAACAACAACTTGATAGGAATAACAAAATCCTAAAATATTAAACTTATTAACACAAGGTTTTTGTTAAAAAACAAAGAATACATCACATCTGTTTATAAATTATCACCAGTTAGTAAGATTGTACGTTCCATTAAGTTCGTTTAAGAGTAAATAGTCGTTCAATTTACGTATTAGAAAAAGAAATATCATATAAAAATTCCTAAGACGAAAACATTAAAAGTGACTGAGATGAAGTAATTACTAGTTCAAAACGCGTAAAACTACCCGAAAATAATACATTGCTTTGATAACCAAAATAAATAAATAAACTAGGTATTTAAAAAACTACCGAAATTATAATTAGTGACTCATAGCTGCCGCCTAGAAGGCGCTGTACAAATTCCGAATAAATAAAATAAAGACTCCTTTTGAAATATATTGTTCTGAAATACGACGGGCAAATACGGAACCCTACACTGCGCGTGGCACGAGGCGCACCTCGGCCGGTTTTCTAATGTCTGTTCTTCAGATGAGAATTGAATGGATTTGCACTATTCATTTTTTTTATCGACAGTTTTACATCTTATATTAGGCTATTACGAATATCAGATAATTTTTGCTCTAGAAACTCACCAAACTGTTTATACAGCTCGGTCATTTATAGACTGCAAAGCTTAGATAAAGAAGCAAAGTTTCCATTGTTGTTGTTTTCTATTCACTAAATATGCTGCGCGGCGATTCGTCACACGACATCATGGTGACGTTAAATTATGTAGTTATCGGTTGGGTAGCCACTGCCAGTTTTACTATCTTTCCTCCGAGTTACAGGACATCTCCAATTTCGTTTAATAGTATTCGCATTAAACTGCCTCTTTGAAACCTCACACATTGGTAATGGTATTTCCTACTACACGCTATGTTCTTAAGTACATTCTCAGCTTCAATATCTGTGTTACATACATCCCATACAATTCATGGCTATCTGTGTCCTTTGATTCTTGCCGTTTGATAATGCAGCCTACCTTGGTCGTTAGCCCGAATACAACAGGGATGATGACTATTTTTTTTCTTCGTTTATCAGGTAGATTATCAAAATGTATTGGACACGTAAGTATTTGTTCTTTTT